GCAAGGGATCAACTAAAAATTTTGACTTTTTCTTCAACTTGTCTGGCACCCTCCTGCTGGAAGCCAAGGTCCAGCTGGACGTCTCCAACTGCTGTAACCAGACTCAGACATCTGCTTCAACTGGGTGCAACAGTGTTTAAACCACTGACAGACTGTCAGGAAGAGCACTAGAATATGCAAAAATTAGACATTCCTGCTACAAAGAGGAAAAGRAGAGACAAGAGGAGTGCAAAGGTAAATGAAGATTAGGAAGGAAAGAAGGGGATAAAAAGCAAAAAAATGGTTATAATGCATAGAACTACATAAATAAAGGCTTTTTACAGAGGAAAATGCAAAAACAACAAAAAGACCAAATATAATTCATATTTATAGTGTAGGTTTTCTGCAAAGTTTTCTACAAAAAGGCAACAGTCTGAAATATCTCATAAAACAGAGCCACTGGTGACAACTTTTAGCTATGTCAGAAATCTTAGAGGCAACGGCTTGTCAACGAGATGCAATTTCCTACCCTTCTTCCACTATTTCRAAGCTTGGAGATGCTTAGGGAACAAAACTGTGGTATATTTGTCATTCCATTTGCTATTAACACAAAAACCTTCAGGAAAAGCACAGGAGGAGCCGAGATGATGGTGAMTTACCACAAGTAGCCCATCTTACATGGCAAGTTCCAAGCTGTTAAGCTGGTCCAAATTGCACGTTTGGGTGATGTGCATGAAGGAGCACATATGCATAGGATGAAGGAGCATATATGCATACATTGATAGACCTGGCACATGTTACAGAATTAAGCAGGAGGCAAACACGCTGCTGATTAAGCCAGCGTGGGTGGTCAGGTTCCCCATCCCAAGCAGAACTGTGTTCACRAATTTTGCAAAGCAGCCCCATGCTCCTCAACTGCCCTCCGAAGGGAGGACAACTGCAACCCACCCTTCTGTCAAGCATCGTATCAAAACTTATTTCAGCTAATCAGGACAGAAAAGATGTTTCCATCTTTAGTGGAAGCAATATTATGACACAACGGAATACTAAGTTTTGATTATTAATTTCCTTCTCTTATTTTAATTGCGTTGAAAAAAAAATCACCTTTCATTTAATAAACTTCCTTCTTTACACAGCATTCTGAATTTTATTTTTTTTTTTCTGGTTATACAAAGAAAGTTATAACTGCTGATGTTCTTATATCACATTTCACCAGGAAAATCTCAACATTTTTTTCTAGGGCTAAAGTAATGAGCTATTTAATGACATATATTGTGCTTAAGTCATTTTGGTTTCTGGTCCAAAAACTCTTCAATAGCACTGCCACCCCACAAGCAAATGTATACCACAAACGAAAACGTATCCCTCCAAATATAAACTTTCATCTCTCTCTTGTGGTAAACCTTATGCAGTATATCAAGAATTTTTAATAAACCCACTTCACTCCATTTTCAATAGCTTCTGCATATTATTTGAAATAATCTCTATTAAATACAGATTTGGTTAGTTTGATTTTCTTTTTTTTCCCTAGAAAAAAAGAAAGAAGGGAATATATTTCCACTGACAAAACCTTAAGAAGAAACATGAAATAAAAGAAAAATAAAATCCACCTTGGCTGGAGCTTTGCTGGCTGCAGTTGGCAAGYGCCAGGCTGATGACATTAGATTCCCACTGGGGTTTAAAGGAACACCCCAGAGCACCAGTGCTCAGAGCAGAAGCAGCCTGGCTGCGAGGACAGCAGCACGAGGCAGGTCCCCAGAGCGCTGCCCTTCCGCAGGGTCTGTGGAACGGGCCATGCCCATGGGGGGCCCACGCCTGGACCCCAAACTTCAGCACAGTGCTCTCTGTAAATGCCATCATGCCACATATAAATGGCAYAGGTTCCAGCTTTAGCATTCAGGCATGTCATTGTGCTCCTTTTCTCATTCTGTATTTTCAAAAACTTGTTCTTTCTACTCAGCTCAGGCACTAGATCTGTGGTCAGGGAGGAATTCCTAGAGCCTTGCATTAAAATTGCCACGAAGGAGGAAGCAGAAGGCATCTCCTTGCTTTTAACACCTATGCTCTGCAATTTTTTTAAGGTTTTAAAAAACACTACAGGATCAACTACAAGAATATCTGCTATTGTTATTATTACTATATGATTATTTCATGTAATAGTCATGTACATTGATGAGACTGATAGATAAAAAGGTCTTGGAAAACAAAACCCCTCATAGTCTCCTTTAAAAATATACACTTAATTGGTTGCAGTAAAATCCCAAGTTTCTGCTTCACTTTTGTAGTGAAACAAAAATTGGGATTATGCAGCAAATGGGCTGGGSCTGCTATTGCCTATTAATTCCCCTGAGAGAGAGGGCAAGTCACTAGAAATGAAAGCTGGTCAATGGGACCCTATTTCCTCAGCTCAGTTCTGCATAAAGAGAGGACAGCAGACTGACTACCAAATATTCACCACAATTTATTCCCTTTAGCTGTTGAATACATTGCCCTAACAGAAGCATAAAAACAAGACATCAGATTCCTTAAACACCAACCAAAATCAGCTCCGTCTGGCTATGTTCCTAAGCCTTAATTGGCATTGCAAATTGACAAYTGCATACAACGTATCTCAGTATAACAAGTTATTCCCATGGTACTGATCCATTGGTGCCCTACATAAGGTGAAAACGTTGTCAGTGCTTTAAGACCAGGATCTCCTGCTACATAATAACCCAGCCACATGAGTAAAGCCTTGCTGTGAAGTTCTTACATTTGCTCTTGATTCCAATCCACGTCGACATTTACATTTCTGCTGCCTCTAGACAGACGCAGAGCAGAGGGCTGTCGACCTGCACCAGCTCCTTGGCTGTTTGGGAAGTTTTTGCCCACCTGCTTTGCGGGGAGACAAGGAGACATTTACACCCAAGGACCCTGCACAAATGTGGCCACCCTCAAACCATGCGCTGAGGAATCCCCTCCCAGGAGCCACAAGATGCTCAAGCCCAGACCCTTCCTCACGAGGGGCTTTGCCTACTGCGTTTGACACCCAGAACACATCTGATTCCTTTTAAATTGGCAAAAATTGCACCTCCAGTGAAGTAAAATCTGTTCGTTACTACAAAATAGCTTTACTATCCAGAAGACTTGGCCACCCTGGCACAGATACAACAGTAGCATCCTGGGCATTCCGGTTATGAACCCACAGGCACCAGGATACTTGACTTCTTCACTGCAGACTGCAAATCTCCTCCACCTCACCTTTAACAAGTCATACACACAAACACAAAATAAAAATCCAAGATCCAAGGCCATATTATTTAGAACATTTCAGCAATACTTGAATGCTTTATTTGCTGATTTTTATTATTTGTTCCATTTTAACCAACCTAATATTTCTTAAGTTAGGTACTTGCTACATTTGGTGTACTTAGAGATACTTTTGGTGACCATCTGCAACAAACTAAAATTAAACCAGTCCATTAGGACTCCTTCATAAATAAAAGCTAACAAAACATCTGCCTGGCAACTGCAGCAACAATACATGCCTTATTCTTACAAAATGCATCCTAACTGCAATTAGGAGACAGTTGAGAACAATTCCTAAATTAAAAGTGTTGCATTCCATGTTTACATGAGCTTAAAAATAAACTCAGAATGCAAACATTAATATAAAATATCCTCCATTAATATTGTTCTGCAAGCCACAGGAGAGAATTTAAGGAAATAATCATGATACAAAAAGCCTGATAGCATTGTCGCTGCTCTGTGTTCCCATTCCATAGGGGCAGACAAGGAAAGCAGGGTGGTTTGCCCTTATTTTCCACAGTCAGACCAAACGTTTCCCCTGGACTATTGCTGTGTATCTCTGCTTACCCCCTGGATCTCCTAACATCACAACTGTCCCCCTCTGCTGCTAGGGCTGTTGGGAACTTGTGAAAGAACGAGCACCAAAAACAACAGAAGTTTTCAGGCCTGATCCTTTTAAAATATGCAGACATCTAAATGCTCTCGCAGGGGATGTATTTATGCCCTGTGGAGCCAACTAGTGTTCAGCAGTCCCATCTAAAATAGTCCCATTTAAAATAGGCAAGGGCTGCAAAGTAGAGGACTTCTCAGAGAGAAAAATAAAAGACTTTTGTTCCACTTGAAACAGGATCAGAACTCACTGCAAGATGTATTTTAGCTTAGCAAACACATTTTTGAGCCTACTTTTAACTTTTCGGATCTCAGAATTAACTTAGTTTGTCATAAGAGAGGCCAGCAAGACATTTGCTTCTCATCAGATTGCAAAGCTTTTTGCAGCTCCTAAGTCAAAAACCTGTAGAGAACACAGTAGTACAAAGGATAGGTAACGAYATGTCTCTCAATTGTAAAGAATTTTTAAAGGCACACTTACATTTTAAGGCAGCATAACATTTCAAAACACAGATATTAGAAAAACAGTAAAGCTTGTGAATTTTAATTCTTCACAGTTATTTACCACAATATATATAAATTTCTACCCACGCAGACCTGCTTCAATTAAACTTATTATCTTTAAAARCTTATTAACAAAACGATGAGAAAGTGAAAGAGAAACTATTCAGGGCGACCTGCACACAAATGTATCTGTATTTATATTTGAATAATGTCACTGTAGGAAGCAGAACAAGCACACCAGGCAACTACTCCYATTTCACAGACAGAGATGGCCTTCACATCAGCAGCTTGGGACCCACTTTCATTTCATTTGGAGAGCAACAACAKCATGCAACCAACAGCATGAGACCCAAAATACAATCAGGTAATTGCAGGGCTTATTATGGTTGGCAAGAGGTGGGTGAAACAGAGTCATGGAGCGAAGAGAGTGTAACAGGAATAAGAGCTCAGTGGCCAGGAAGCTGGAGCACAACTCACCAGCCTATTGGGTAGGGAGAGGGAGAGGGAGAGAAGTTCCTCCTTCCCCATGCAAAAGCTTCCCCACGTCACCTCTAGCTGGTCCCAGCAGCAGACAGCTCTGCCTGATCTGCACAACACACATTCCCAAGATTTATACTCACAGCGAATGCCGTAAATCATGAGAGGATCAAGCTGCTTCTTCCCATGCTTCCCCTGGCCTGAAAGGTTGGAGATGGCCTGGATTTCCCGATGGAAGAGATAATCCAGCAACGTCAACGCCATCTTCTCGGCTGTGCGGCAGTTCGTGCTGATGTGCAGCATGTCAGCGGGGGTGATGGGGCAACGGACCCGCATTTCGGGATTATTTTCATCTCCCAGCCACGTCCCGTTGGGGTAATCCTCTAAAAACAGAGAAYGTGGAAATTCTAATCATGGCACAGAATGAAACAGGCAGGTTCAAGTTATATTCAATATCTCTTAAAATATCATAAGCTCTTCCAATCTTCTTCATAGCCTTCATAGGTATCTTTCTAATTCAGAAAGACTGATAAACTCAAAAAAGTTCTTCTCAAACCTGTATCATTAGTGACCAAACATTACTTCCATTAACAGCTATGTCTGATCCACACAAGGAACTGGAAGATGTCCTTAGCTTAGCCTCTAAAAATGAAGGTCAGCATAGCCCCATAGCTCCTGGTAGAGCTATTATTTCTCCAAACAGTTTTTAACCACATTTTTTTTTCTATTATCATCAGATTAAAATCAATATAATAAGATTATGAAAATTTAAGGAAATTATAATTAATGGTGAGTTGTACCTTATTATAGAAAGTATATCTTTATTATTCATGTCAATCGAAACATAGTCAAAGATCCCARTCAGTATCTTGAATTGCTTCAAGTTTTCTTACAATGAACCTGCAATACATCCTAAGCACATTATTAACCAAAGGAAGAGCCCCAGAGATCATTCACAGAACATTATTTTAATTTCACTGGCTGCCAGAACAATACCTACCCTATAAATATATATATATATAGGTGTACATATATCTATATATCTTACACACATATACGCACACGTGTGCGTGTGTGTGTGTGTGTGTGTGTGTATACATCCCTGGAAGATCTTTAATTTTCCACCAGCTTCTCACTTTGGGAAAAAAATGACTCATTTTAAGATGAGATTTACTAAGGCCTCAATGGAAACTCATCTTTTTTGGCAATATCAGAAGTTTGTGGATTCAAGGCTCACCAGAACCTCAAGCAGAGCTCAGAGGGGAGACCAAGCACAAAGCGAAGGATGCTACACAGGACTTTGGATGAGACTCCCATTCCAGATAAAAYGAAATTTCCAACACAAATCTTTACAAGGCTAATAGCAACTGGACAGAACAATGTTCAGTCTACTATTTCAATGTTGACTGACACAGACCATTTGCATTTGATTCCTCTGTTTGCTCAGCTTTCTGGAGCGAAAGCACAAAGCCTCCTGACTGACGAGTCACTCAGACCTTCCATGCTGGAGTTTTATTGCTTGCTTCACATACCTTCAGAATGGTTTAAAGTATCTATATAAATTTTAAATATATGTCTCTGTAATGGAGCTTTATGCTATCTGCCAAGTCACAAATTCCAGTTTTTCTGACCATTCTGTTTGCACAATTGAATAACAGAGTTCAGATGGATGAGCACTTTTCATATTGAGCAGGACAAGACCTCTGTGTAAGCAGCACCTTTATTTTCAAGTCCTGGCACTGGTTAAGCAGCCTGTGTTTTACTAGGCTGCAAGTCAAAAGCAGGCAATAAAATGTAACATATAAAAGCAAGTCCAACAGTACAGAGCACTTTTCTGACATGACCTCTGGCCTCTGGATAACAGATGCAAGTTTATTGCAACGAATGACAGTCTGCAGAATAGTCCACGCAGTATTGATATAGCATTACCAATACCAGATAACCAACTACAATAATTTGCAAAAAAAAAAAAAATAGAGCTGATATACGTAACAGCTAGTACCTCAAGCTTTATTCTCCTGAAATTTGAACTTCATATACTCTTCTGAATATAATTTTTTTAMATATACATGTGCTTTTCCTAGGCTTTCCTCATACCTTCCCTTCTACCCTGAACTGTGCAATCCTGCACACTAGCTGCTTTCTGCTCGCRGTACCAGCTGCCATCTGCAAAATAAGGTGGTTCAGATTAACTATGACGTGTTTTGAATGCTACTGTTTCTGGTCTCACTGCAAGTCTGGTTAACATTATTGGGGAAAAGAAACATTCTGTTACTAAAGACAAATTGGCTGTTCTATAAAAATTAAGACAGAGCTGGCAGAGCAAAAGATGTCACTGGATAAACGTGCAAGTTTTTCAAAAACAAGTTAGCGAATTTGAATAAATAATTCTCCATCCTATCAAAATTCTACTGCCGTACCAGTTCAAACAATTACTAATAGATACAGAAGTTTATTTGCATTAACGGTTCATCTGTTCTCTTGCCTAATAAATGCTATCAAAGTACATGAACTGAACCAAAGATTTTTTTTCCATTTGCAAAATAATCAGCTTTTCACTGGCACCAAGTCCAGAACATACTGTTTTTACCACATGCAACTGTACTTTTTATTGCTAACAGTCTGGAAAAAGACACTATCTTGCTATTCTGAGCTATGAACACATGTGCCCCCATGAATTTATCTTTTGCTTTTCCCCTCGTTCTAAAAACTGAAATAGAAAACTCCTTCTGCCTCTATATCATTACAAAGAGGCAACATGAAATTCATGRAAAAAAAAGAAAAAAAGGCTGTGTGGAAATCCCAGGGGCTTTTATACATTTCCACTCAAAGGTTTACATCAGTTCTTCAATTCAGTCCAAACTAAACCAGCTTGAATGTGCCATGTTATTTCATTTCCCTACATTAGAGTGCAGTCTTTGAAATGAAATCCTTCCCGTCAAACTGATAGACATCTGGAAATGGTACCAAAACACTGATGGTGATGAGAGACTGGTGGTTTAGACGAGCCCAACATACCATTACTTTAATTTCTTCACTGAAATAATCAGCTTTCCTCTATCCAATTCATCCTCCCCCAATTCATCCTGTAACAGGCACTGTGAAAACAGAACCACCAAAATATTCTCTCCTACTCAAGAAATTATTCAAAGACTCATACATCTGAATAAAATGGACATAGAGGGCGGAGAAGTGATAYAGAACACTCAAAAACATGAAAAATGCCTCAGGATGGTGGGCTGGCTTTAACCAACAGCTGAATAAAACTTTATGGTTTGCTCAATGTTGTACAGCACATGGTCTAGAACATGGTCTAGAAATCAACCTACCATCCCAAATTGAACTAAAGTCAATGCTAAAAATCACAAACTTTTTTTTTCTGCACATAACATCTAAAATTATTTATAAATTTACAAATAAAGATCTAAATCTTAAATTAATGTAAAGGACTTTTTATTTCTCCTCTGGTCTTAGAATAATTCCGTGCATGTTCAAACTGAACTTTTCGTTTAGATTTTACAGGTTTGGGGAGGAGGGTTCTTGGGGTGTTCGTGGTTGTTTTGTTTTTCCTCTTCATTTCTATTGTTTCCTTCCTGCTTATCTTGCACCACGATCTGTTTTTTTAAAACCTGAAGACAGGGTATTTTTAAACAGCGTTTCTCATACTTCCTGTCAAATACACATTAAAAAGTATAAGAATAATTTTTTAAAAGTTACACTCAGTTGCACTTCAGTCTAAACATACACCTGTTCTGCACAGTAGCTCTGATCTTTCTTTCATTAATTTGCCTCCTCACCCTTTTGACCCAAAATCCTACCTGAAAACAGTTCAACTGTGCCTGAGTGCTATGAGAAAAAGTAATCCCTTGCATTTCTTTATGCCAAATACTCTTAACACCATACAGGGGCTCTTGATCATTTCTCCTTCCAGTGCTGAAGTCGTGACATTTTTATCTGATTTGCTCTCTGCACTCAGGAGCTCATTTCAATGACAATCTAAATTTCTAGTTCCTCCTCACTGTTTTTTTTTCTTCCGAGATCAAAAAATTTGCCTTTATCTCCGTTTCAGTAAATCCAGAACTAGTTTGCTTTTCACTGCTGTTTCYAAATCTTTTCCCCCTGTAATAAGTTCATTTCTTTTATCTCCCAGCACAGCTGACCGCTCCTCTGTGACCAGAGAACATAATGGTCTCAGYGAGGAGAAGGGACCTGCGGCTGCTCCACAAACACCCATTTCTATGGAAACTGCAGGAGCTGTAAGCTTAGTATCAGGAAAGTCTGTGTCCAGAGAACAAAACACAAGAGGCACTGCAGCCTTCTGGATGCACATGTGTGTTTTCCCACCTAGGACCCTCTCCCTTGGGGACCTTAGATGGGACCRTCTCCCTTAGATGAGTACTAAGGCTAGAAGCAAAGCTGGGAGCCAGCCTAGGTGCTGTCACTAATTCCCTTAAAGCCCTGAAAAATAAAATGAAACACCTGCCTGCACCACCACTTGAATTAACTTGTACCATTAGCCAGAGCAGTGGTGTTTATTTTACAAATAATGTTGGGTGCAGATCTGGCATCTGCAGTAAAGGAAATGACTGGTAGCAGCAGTACAAAGACGTAAAGTTGAATTAACCTTATGAAAATAAGCCAATTCCTAACCTACAAAAATAAACCTCTGCTTCTAAAGATATTAAATAATGTTTTGGCTGATATATAGGAGATTTTTTTTTCTCAAATAAACTTCTACTAATCAGCCCGAGTCCTTTGCCCCTGTAAGAGTACTGATTATCAGACAGAGAATACCATGTACAGACTATAAACCAGCAATCATGGAATAGCTAAAACTAGGTTAAACCAGAGAGAAAAGCACACAGTATGTTAACACCCAACTCCAGAGATGCAATATAAACCTTATAATAAAAGAAATGTTAAAGAACTTTCTTAAAAGCAATAGTCATTAAAAGGCAGACAGGTGCTGGGTGTCCTGAGAAGGAAAGAGCCCCATGCACATGGGGATCAAAAACCCAGCACATATATAGTGCATATAGAAAGCTCAGCACAGAATCAGTGAGGTTACTACGTTTGTTAAAAATGTAGCACCTATTTTAATATATGGTTAAAATTGGAGATAGAAAGAGGAGATGCCCTTACTTGGTGGCTGATGGACGGCCAGAGAATTTGTTGAACAGAAGTGAAAAGTAAGGACTATTTGATCAGCTGTCATTTAAAAGGATTAGCCAAAAATGCCCTGATAAAACTGAGAAAAATTAAAATCTGTGGGCTTAGAATTTTAGGAATTTAGGATAGATCTGTGAATGCAATTCAAGTTCTGCAGTTTTCTTTGGCTTTAACAGATCAGTGAGTTCTTGAAGTCTGATCAGTCTTCATGTCA